AAAGTATAACCTTGACAGCGCAAAGACTAACCACACTCCTGTGGGAACTAACTCTAGGTTAGACAAAGATCCCTCAGGAACTTGTGTGGACCAGACAAAGTACAGAGGTATGATTGGTTCCTTACTATACTTAACTGCAAGTAGACCTGACATTTCTTTTAGTGTTGGTCTGTGTGCTAGGTTCCAATCAAACCCCAAAGAATTGCATCTAACAGTCGTCAAGAGAATACTGAGATATCTCAAAGGAACTGACGACTTGAGTTTATTCTACCCAAGAAGTGACACATATGATCTTACTGGATTTGCCGATGCCGACTATGCTGGGGATTTGGTGAATAGAAAAAGTACATCAGGTATGGTCCAATTCCTAGGATCTTGTTTAGTTTCTTGGAGTTCCAAGAAACAGAATACAGTTGCTCTATCCACAGCAGAAGCAGAATACGTAGCAACTGTTGCATGTTGCTCACAACTGTTGTGGATAAAACAACAATTACGTGATTTTGGCATAGTTCTTGAATGTGTTCCAATATACTGTGATAATACAAGTGCTATTTGCATATCAAAAGATCCAGTACATCATTCACGTGTAAAGCATATTCATGTTAGGCATCATTTTCTAAAAGACAATGTGGAAAAAGGCTCTATTAAACTAGAATTTGTACAAACTGAATATCAAATTGCTGACATTCTAACAAAGCCTTTGAGTAGAGAAAAATTCGAAAAGATGCGATTGGAACTCGGAATGATAAAGCTGAATTGAGCAGTTCTTCTTGGAACCCCAAGGTATGTCTTACTGAAACGACTGAGCAATTGCTATATATAACCTTGGTGTGAAAAACATAATCTCGAATCTTGCAATGAAAGAGTGTGTAATTCTAATGAGTATGTGATCATGTGATTATGTTGATGAAGAAGACAAATTAAGCCATATTATTTTCCAAGTTCCTTTTTGTAAAGCTCTGTACATGTTAACCAGTATTTTACTTTGAACTAACTTACTGGAAAAAAAATTTCTTTCGTAATTTTTATTTTTCTTTATTTTTCAATTTTTATTTTTATCTTTTTATTATTTTTGTTATCTTATAAATTTAAAAACAACAAAAAGATTTTTTTCTCAATTAGATTTTATCTTATTTTTTTTTAATTTTTATCATTGTCAAAATAAATCACAACCTTTTCTCTATCCCACTAAACTCTCAACCGTCACCTATCTTCTCACCTCACTTACCACACGCACCCACTCACCTCAAAAAACCCCAAAACACCAACCGCCACTTCCAACCTTCAAAGTTCCTCTAACCAAGGAAGAAACCCACCCCTTGAAACCAGAAAACATACTCCATGAAAAATCCCTCTCAAAATTAAGCCTTAAAGTTGTTCGTGGAAAAGTTTGTTTTATTACCGATGTACACTCGGAATCTGAGGAAGAGGGAGATCAACGTGAGGGGGAACTGAATGAGAGGGAAAGCATTGATGAGGAGGAAGACAGTGAGAAGGAAGAAGTAAAAGAGGAAGACAGTGAGAAGGAAGAAGTAAAAGAGGAAGAAAACAGTGAGAAAGAAAAAGAAAAGAAAGAGAAAGACAGTGAGAAAAATGATGAAAAAGAAGAGGAAACAGAGAGTGAAAAGGAAGAGGAAAAAGAGAGTGAAAAAGAGAGAAAAAGTGTAGTAGAGAGGGAAACAGAAGAAGAGAAAGAAATAGAGAGTGAGAAGGAGGAAAAAGATGACAAAGAGGAGTTAGTGAAAGAGCTACTCAAGGAAATTGGAGGCTCTGTTAAACAAACTGTCCCTGTAACAGGTAGAAAAAGGAGAAGCGTTAAACTTGCTTCTTCTAAACCCAGAACACTGAGATCTCAGCCTGTTATCATTGTTCAATTGGATGATGATACATCTAAAGTTTCTGAAGGAACTTCCACCCAAGTTCCTCAGGGTCCGTCTTCCCTTGTTTCTGAAGGAACTCCATCACCACCCCCTATTCCTTCCTCTATTCACCAAACCACACCTTCTCCACCTGCTTCACAGCCTCGTACTTCTGGTTTCGGCTTCAGTGCTTTTAGCTCTGGTCCAAGTTCCTTGCAAATCCAGGAGGAACTTCAGCTTTTGTCCACTACACTTACACAGAGTATAACTAACCTTTCTTCTAAAGTGGATAACCTGGCTACTAAAGTTGAGGGGCTGCAAACTCAGATGCTTTCTCTGGAAGATAAAGTAAATGCTCATATGGACTCCTCGGCTCAGGAACTCAAAGCTAAAGTGAAGCAAAGTTGTTACAAGACCATTCTCGATGCGATCAAGGATGTTACCTTACCATGAAGCTGCTACCATTTCCTAGCCCTTTGCAAAACAAACCTACCCCACTCTTTCTTGTGATTTATTAAACAGTGATATTGTCCTTCAATTTTATTTTGTTTGGCTTGTTTTGAACACTTTATTTTGTTTTTATTTCGGTTTGTATTAAACTGGCTAAGTTTGTCTTTGAAATTGATGTTTTCATTTTGGTTGCATATGAACTGTGTGCGCATGCTTAATCGTTCATGAATTCAGATTTACTACTCCCTCCGTGGTTTAGTACTATATATAGCATGCTCTTTCTATCATTTTGATAATGTCAAAAGGGGGAAGAGAAGAACAAACTCAGAAAGCTGGACTCAAACCGATTCCCTTCAAGTCTTCATCATTTAAGTAAAGGTATAAATTTCACAATTTATAAATTTCATGAATGATGCAGACTTCTTTATCCTTAGTTTATTTTATTGCTTTAAATAATTTAACTGTTTTATTTAAGTATTGGTTACTCTGATTGCTTGGATGTTTGTTTTGTTTAACCGAGTTTGTTTTTGTTTGTCATCGTCAAAAAGGGGGAATATTGTTGAATTGACTACCTTAATATTGTGATGATTGACTTACATAAAACAAACTCTGACTAATGATGTTTATGAGTCTTGGTTGAACAGAAAAATTCAGGTACTCAAATACATGTTCCGGAGTAGGAACAACAGAGTTTGGAAGACTTGATGATGAATGCAAGCTTTCAAGATGTCCTCACAACTCTATATACTTAGTTACTCAGTGTACGAGCTTAAGAAACAAAAGTGTTGGAAGGAATGGAAGGAATTAAGAAGAAACTCGAAGTTCCTGAAGGAACCTGTAGTTCCCGAAGGAACTTGACGATTGACTCAGAAAGTTTTAAACGAAAGTTTTAAAACAGTTTTCATATCCCTTAATTTAAGGAAGTGATAAAAATCAGTTTTGAAAAAGATTTAAAAAGATTTTATAAATAAATAAATAATTCATTAATTTAAAAAGATAAGTTTTAAATTAATTAATTATTTATCTTTTAATTAATAAATAAATAATTATCTTTTTTATTAAATAATTATCTTTTTGAATAACTGATTTTTTTGACTTGGTAAATACTGGCTCCTAGTATTAAGGAGAACGTTGAACTTGGGAGTCAAGCTAAGGAAATCATGTTCCTAAATTTCCTCTGCCTACATCCCAACTTCTCAGCCAAAGAGAACGTGGGATTAAGGGGGAAGTGGGAATTTGATGGAAGCTTGAATATTCTCCTTATAAAAACAGATCAACGTTAAGTTTTGAAAGCGTGGAAAAACAATCTTAAGTATTCAGAACATAGAGTTTTAAAGTGTTTAAAAGAGAAGTTCCTTCCATCCTTAGTCTCTTAAGTTCTTTAGGAAATACTTGTAATCATTGTGTAATTGGGTTTGGGTTGTGAGAGTTGTAAAGTGTGAGACTTGAGAGAGTTGTTTACACTGTACAAGTGATTCGGAGTAGAATCACAAAGTGTGAGAAACTGTGATTGAGGAATCACAGTTGGGTAACTTGAGTTTCTCACGGAACTTGAGTCTAGGCAACGTATTAGTGATTGTAAATCATTTTTACATAGTGAATTTATTCATTGCCTATCTCAGTGTCTTTTCTCTTAGTAGTAGATTTAATTCCGCAAAATTTACCATAGTCTACATATACTACAATTCACCCCCCCTCTTGTAGTATACATTGTTCTGTCACCATGAAAATTCATTTTCTCTCTCTTCTACCAAGCTGCCATGTGCAGTGTGGGCCCAACGTAGTTGATCCAAGATGGGGTCTTTTTTTGGATGAGCATAATGATAATTAAAATCCTTTAATTATTACTTTTTCCTACCAAAATAATTGCTCTTCCATATTAGATTCTCGTTATGTCAGATAAAAGTTTTAACAGTTTCCGCTAGATTTATAATACAAGTAGTATTATTAATTTATCATCAGATTTATATCATATTGCAATTAGTGTGGATCTGCCGCATTTGTTGACCCTTGACGTGTATTTCACTTACTTTTTATTTATTTTTATTATTATTATTTTTACTTATTTTTACTGGTGGTAGATTGAATTGCCTACTATTTGATATGTTAAACTTTTTCGCCTAAAAATGTTAGTATGTGATTTTGTGCTAAGCGGAATATCACCAAGGAGAAAATGAAGCTGGAGAATTTTATCAGACTAAATTTATTGGAATGTTTGTAATTTTGTAAATTTGAAATGGGAAATGGTAAATTTTTGTTAGTCTTATCCTTAAACAGATTAGTACTCCATAATCAATTTTTAATGAAAGGAAAATGTCTGATGATAAAGGGAGAAAATTAAGATCTGCCTCTTGCCCCCTCCCTTTTTAATAAACAAGATGAAGCCAGAAACCTTTGTAAATGAGATTTCAGTTCTGCTATTCTCTGAATGTACAGGTAATGTTTAAATTATAGTACTTCTTTGGAATAGTATTCCAGTATTTCTCATGCCACTTTTCACTTTAAAAATAAATAATGTTGATAAATGACACACCTACCCTTTATAATTTTTTCCTCGTGATCTAATAGAGATTAGAGTCATATTAGTGGGACCAACTAAATTTCATTTTCTTTTACTCTCACAGTTTACTGTCATTTTCATACATAGTTGGACCCTTTGTGCACTATTTACAGGCATTAGAGAATCTTTAATACTATCCTTGTTCTGTTTTTGGAATAAAGTTTCTGCAAGAAAATGCCTGTACAATGTACCTGTTTTTCTCGTTTTATATATTGCTTAGATTTCTAGTTGTAACTCCCTCCATTTCTTGTTGGTGTTTTATCTCTAAATTTTAGCTCTTTCTTGGTAGATAAAAAAAATGTCCACCCCATACTTCCCTCTTAGTTGGGAGAGCACAGGAGACCAATGGTGGTATGCAACCCCCATAGATTGGGCAGCAGCCAATGGCCTTTGTGACTTAGTTAAAGAACTCCTCCGCATTGACCCTAACCTTCTCATCAAGCTAACCTCCCTCCGCCGAACACGCCTCCTTGAGACTGTCTGGGAGGACAGCCTCGAAGCAGAAGCCAGCCCACATGATGAGGTTTCCCATTGTAGGGCTCGTGTGGCCCGGGCTCTCCTCATGGACTGTGAACCCAGTCATGGTGAAGGGCTGCAGCGTAACTCTCTGATGAGGGCTGGCTATGGTGGATGGCTCCTCTACACCGCAGCGTCAGCAGGAGATATGGAGTTTGTTAAGGACTTGCTTGAGAGAGATCCGCTTCTTGTTGTTGGAGAAGGTGAGTATGGTGTCACTGATATTCTTTACGCTGCTGCTCGGAGCAAGAATTCCGAGGTTTTTAGGCTCTTGCTTGAATCTGCTATGAATGTGAATAAAGGTAGTGGCGAATTAGGAGAGGATTTTGTAGGGGAGATGATGAATAGGGCAGTTCATGCTGCTGCTAGAGGAGGGAACTTAGAGATTCTTAAGGAACTTTTGTTGGATTGTTCTGATGTTTCGGGTTATAGAGATGGTCAAGGATCCACCATTTTGCATTCTGCTTCTGGAAGAGGCCAACTTGAGGTGAGAACTTTTTGTTTAATTCTAAATAATTAGTCTGATTGATCATGATTATTCTATGTTTTACTAGATTTAGATTTATTGGCTTATCTTTGGTTCTTGAATATGTCAAGAATTTTGTCATAGATCTAATAACTTACATGTTGCCTTTTGTTTACTGCATTCCCATTTACAACCACCGCCTAGTATAAATCTCTCATGTTGTCTTGTATAATCTTACCTTTGTCTAACCTTTTTTTAGTAGAACGGTTTTTTTCGAAAATCCTCTTAGAGCATTTTTATGAAGTCTCACATCATATTGTATCTTATCCATGGCATGAAGATTAAGAATTGTGGATAGACAGAGAGGGGGGAGTGTTGGGGGGGGGACCTTAGAGAGAAAAGTACAAGAGTTTACTTGAAAAGGCGAGTGTGCAAATGATTTGAGAAATTCAATAAAGGAAAACGTGGAAAATAGTGAGTTAGAGAAAGTATTATACTGTGGTTATTAAAAAAAAAAACAAAATCCATGGAGCTTTTCTTGTAAAATTTTCTCTCCACATCAAAAACAAATACGGAGTATAAAGTAGTTTTTTACACTTAATAATTGCTGCATTGCTTGTGGTTAATTATCTCGCTAACCTGTTGTTCTGGGATGCAGGTGGTTAAGGATTTAATAGCAACATATAGTAGTATCATTAGCTCCACTGATAATCAAGGGAATACAGCATTACATACTGCTGCATACAGAGGATACACTGCTATAGTGGAGGTTTTAGTCCTAGAGGCACCCTCATTAACCACATCGAGAAACAATGATGGTAACACATTTCTACACATGGCAGTGGCTGGGTTCCGGTCCCCTGGTTTCCATCGAATCGACCAGCAGCTTCAGCTCATCAAATGCCTAGCAAGTGGAGAAATTGTCAGCTTGGAAGACATCATCAATATTAGAAACAAAGAAGGTAGAACTGCAATGCATGTAGCTGTTGCTGAGAACATTCAGTGCAGTGTTGTGGAGCTCCTAATGAGGGTACCTTCAATCGATTTGAATATTCGTGATATTGATGAATTAACCCCTCTGGATCTCCTCAAGCAATGCCCTAATACAGCATCATCTAATATTCTAATCAAGCAATTTACATCAGCTGGAGGGATTTCTGATTGTCAAGATTATTCTACAAGAAGTGCTCTGGCTAGACAGTTGAGAATTCAGGGCATTGGAACTAGTCCTGGGACTTCTTTCAGATTACCAGATGCCGAGTTATTCCCATATGCAGGAGATGGGAATGACTCTGAGGTTAATTGTGAACCGCCTAGTAGTAGGCTCAGCTCTTGCTCTAGCGAAGTAACAAGCCATTTTGGCTTAGAGAGCAACGAGAAAGCTTCAAGATGGCTAAAGTTTCTTCGAAGACCCGACAAAACTGCCATGTGCTCGATTACACAAATTGAATCACCCAACCCACACCATAAATTAGCAAGTACTAAGGTGGAGGAGCACAATGATGTTGGAATGTTTAAGGTGTGCAGAAATGTAGATGAAAGTATAACTCCACTCAGGCAAAAATTCTCAAGGGCAGTTCCAAGCCCTTCTGCCCGGGAGAAATTCACAGCAAGCCTAATGCAAGGAGTGGTGCAAGCAACACCGCCCAGATCTTGTTTATCGTTGGCTCGATATTCTCCTTCAAGCTCAATCACTGAATCATTGACATCTTCCCCTACTGCAGTAGATAAGCTGAGAGGCGACTATGACAGAAAAAGTCCTGAAAGATCCTCATTTTTTAGCGGGCCTTTAAGTGGTGGAAAGCCATTAATGGGTGAGAAGCATAGAAGGGTAAGCTCTTTCAACAAGAGTTTGATGAATCAGTACTTCTGCTTTGGGGCTCAAGGGTTGGCTGTGGAAGATTCACTTACAGTCAAAAGAACAAACAGCAGTTGCAGAAGGCTTGTCTTCTGACTTCTGAGCTACATTAGGGTTAAGTGATGTCATGATTTTAGGTTGGGAAATTCTTCCTACTTTACACTTTTCCTGTAAAATTTTTAATAGAGTTAAAAAGGATGAAGTTAAATTTGGAAACCTTTACCTTTCCCTTGATCCAATTTCCTTGAAATTGTGGTTAATTAATCGTTAGTTCATCATAATACTTTGATTACTTTCACTTCTTTTTTCCTTTTTTAACTTGACATGTTTTATCAAGTTTGTCAATTCATAGTTAACTAAAATTCTTTTTTGACATGTTTTGTCACGTTTGCCAATTCGTAGTAAAAATCATTATTAAAAAAAAAAGAAGTATACTCAACACCCTGCCTGTAATATATGTATGCGGAGAACTTCATTGCTTCAATAAAATTATTTTTTTTTTTTTTTTTTTTGTGGTGAAATCCAATAAAATTAATATGGGGTATCCATCTTCTCAATTCTATCATTGGGCTTGAACCTAAGACTTTTAGTCCAAACTCAATGCATTACCACTATGACAAAGCTAATTTGATGTTATTTATTGCATAAAAAATGTATTTAACCTATAAATTTATATATTTACTTAAATAAAAAAATAAAAAATAAAAAATTTGGGGGGGCCGGTGCCACCCAGGCCCCTTCATAGATCCGCCTATGATCATACATCTAAAAGATTGGATAAAGCTGATGAAATGGATGGAATATATATTTACCAAAGAGATGGTACAAATTCTTAAATGGACATAGTTCATATTAATTTACTAGCTTATGGTCCCGTGCAATGCACGGATTTACCAAAATTTATAAATATTTTTATTTCAACAAATTTTTTATGATTTTTTTTATACTCAGTAATAAGTATGAAAAAATTCGATATTCTACTAATTATATTAAAAATTATGCAAATCTTTTTAAATAATATTATTTTGCTTAAAGTTTCTATAAGTTGTTACAAAAATGTTTTATTGAATTTGGGACGAAAAGATTGTGTTTAAGTAGGAAAGAAAATATTATAGTGTATTAAAATTACCTAAGATAATCTAACAAAAAAAAAAGGAAAAAAAAAAAAAAAGTGGAGGGAAATTATTTAACCAGATTTTGCCACGTGTCATTTTTTATTCGCCTTTAGTATATAGTTATGATTGTAGACTATTAACATTAGAGACAATATGATTGTTTTATTAATTAAAAAAAGGGTCACTATATTAAAATAAAGGTTATTATGTTGAAATAAAAGTTAGTGTGACATTATAAAAGCTATAAAAGGTTAATTTTTTTTAATGAAATTTTTAATATAATAGTCAATATGAATAATAAAGATCACTATGTTAAAATTAGGTTACTAATTAACATAATGTCGTATTTTAAGTTCATAATACATTAAAGGTCACTCAAATTTTTAAAAAATGTTACTATGTTAAAAATAAGGTTACTATGTTAAAAATAAGGGTCACTATATTGAATATAATGTCAGTTACGAGTGAATTAACCTTAGGTCCACAATAATTTTATTGTGAACCAGGTCCACGCAAGAGATGGACAATTTCTTAATTTTTATTGAAAATTAGTTGAATTTGTTGGACTATGAATACAGAAAAATTGTAAATAACCACCCCTTAAATCACCAAAAATTGATTTTACCACCTATTTTTTTCTTTATTTTAAATAACCACCTCTAAAAGTGAAAAACATTAGAAATCAACACCTTTTAGCATTGGTCCGATCATGTTTTCGACTATTTATAAGCTAATTTTTGAAGGTTCTTCTTCCTTCTTTAGTGTACTTTCTCCACTTTTTGTCGTAGTTGAATTAAAATTTGGCTAAAAGTGGTGATTTTTAATGTTTTTCACTTTCAGAGGTGGTTATTTATAATAAAGAAAAAAAGGGGTGGTAAAATCAATTTTGGGTGATTTGAGGGGTGGTTATTTACAATTTCCTTTTATGTATATATAATTCGTTATTTATAATTTATATCAAACAAACAAGATTTTTTTATTACTAAAAATATATGAATATAATCAAACAAATAAGTTTATTTTGCTATGCCTTCGATCTCTTGCACAAGCTATATAGGCATTCCTAGGTTTTTGGTATGGTCCATTTGTTTTGATGTACATATGAATCAGAGTATGGATCATCTGATCTATGTGCCTAATTTGATTGATGCCTTTTCTAATATGTATGACTTATTTACAGCCATGAATTCTAAATTCACATTAGTTGTTTTAAATACCATAAATTTTGACTGATGCGAATTAAATAAATTTGTTGAAGAGATGGATGCCTTGAATATTTCTTCCAAATTCATACTTACCTCCGTTTTTTTTTAGTTGACACGTATTCAAGTTTTTTTTAATTGACACGTTTCCTTAAAAAGTAAGTTTTTCATTTGCATTTATTACCTACCCCACTTAGTTTATCATTCTCTTTCGCTCTTTCTCTTCTCCTTAATATGTGTGCCTAAATTGAATGTATCAACTAAATAGAAATGGAGAAAGTATTATTGTTTGAACGATGAACCAGAAGATACGAAATAAGGCATTCTAGACACTCCAACTGACAAACCTTTGGCTTGTTGAGACACAAAACAAACAAGAGTTAGGTGACTTAAGGCATGATAAACCATACGACTTGTTATTAAAGGAAAAGTGAAATCCGACCCACAAAACAAACAAGAAAATCAAGCTAAACAAAGGAACCAGACATTACAAACAACAAGACAGGGCATAATTAACAAGTAACGACTACGATGAAGATGAAGATGAAGATGCAGACGATCCGCTATTTCAGCCTGACGGGCAAAACCCATCATATTCACTTAACCGAGCACAATATCCGAAGCAACATTTGGGTCCTTGACTATATAACAGACACCTCCCGAATTGTGGTACACACTCGTTCTCCGTCGTGGTAGTACTAGTAATAGCTACCGCGATTTCTGAATTACACGATTATAAGGATGTCGTATAATCATGTATTTGTTCATTGTTCTCATTGACTGAACTCAGGTAAACTGAATTGAGCTGAATTGAACTGAAATGAAATGAATATTTTATAAGAGAAGGAAATTAAGAGCTGAGCTGAACTTAACTGAATTTCGACGTATGAGAACAGACCCTAAATTACTAAAATAGAATAACCTGTTGTAGTATTCATGAGCATGAACAACATTATTGCTATAACACCAAAATCATAGGCTTTGAGTGACACTCGGACTCTCTCCATTTTCTTAATTATTGGTTGTATTAATGCTTGAATGGGTGTACCATTTACTCATAAAACCCCTCCTATTTATAGCATCTTAATTAGGGTCTATGACTTACTACGCATGCACCCCTAATAATTAATTATAATCATAAATTAAAAATTAACAATAGCAAAATTAGTACGCAAATACTCACTAAGGGTCTATTCATATTTACTGAACTGAACTAAGTTGAACTGATTGGAGCTGAACTGAATTAAACTGAATTGGACTGAAATGAATATTTTATGAGAGAAGGAAATTAGGAGCTGAAGTGAACTACGAGTAAACTCCTTTCGTTTCACAATGATCTCCCATCTGCATTCTTCTAACTATTAAAAATTATAGTGAATCTTTTACATTATTCTCTATATACTATCTCCGTTTCATACTACTCTCGTACTCCGTATACACAACATTACTAAAAAAGTAAAAATAGTTTACAAAATATTATGTGCAACAAATGTATTCTTTCCTTTTTAAGTTGTTAATTACTACAAGTAATTATTATCTATATTTCTCTTCTTATCACATTATGTGCATCATCTCTCTCTCAATTCACCACTCACAAATAAATTTTGTTGCTTATTTGTTATACATAATATAAAACAGATGTATTATAAGAACTACTATCATCACATGAGTAGCACTGTCAAAAACCGAACCGAACCGGTGAAACCGAACCAATTCAAACCGATCCGAATGAGAACCGAACCGATTAAAAACCGATTTTTTGAAACCGAAAACCGACCCGAACCGCATTTTAGTAAACCCGAAACCGAACCGATCCGAGTAATGTTAAACCGTTTTAGAACCGAACCAAATCTAAACCGAACTGGAAAGGAAACCGAACCGAAAATAAACCGAACCGTTTCTAACCCGAAACCGTTTAAACTGGCATAAAAACCCGTTATAAACCGAACCGTTATAAACCGAACCGTTTACAAACCGAACCGTTTACAAACCGAACCGTTTACAAACCGAACCGTTTATAAACCGGACCGTTTATAAACCGAACCATTTATAAACCGAACTGTTTATGAACCGAATCCTTATAAATCGAACCGTTTACAAACTACTTACTACTAGGAGTGGTTATTGGGTGGGTCAGTGTGGGTCGATGCAGATCATTTACGAAGTGAGTCGGTTGCAGGTCAAGATGAATATTTAGCGGGACATAAATAATAACCAATAACTCGAGATAAAAAAAGGAACAACATATCAATATGTAATGTGACTAAAACTATTAATACTTGTTCTATGAGATTAAAACATTTTAGCAATGAAGCAACACAATATATATTAAGCATCACTAGTTCACTACAATACAACATCCATGTCTTCTTAATTAGATGCAAAACTTTCATCTATCACTTCTTTACCAATTTCAAGGACGTCTTCTTCAATATCACAATCATAACCACGTAACCAATTTTGTGTGGTCACCAATGCCTCAACATTCTTATGCAAAAGCGCACTCCTATACTTGTTTAAAATACGACCACCCATGCTAAAAGAAGACTCTGAGGCTACCGATGTAATAGGAATGGCCAAAACATCCCTAGCCATAACAGCTAATATGGGGTACACACTACTTTGAGATTCCCAATACTTAAGAACATCGTACTTCTGCCCTTCATAAATTGGTTGTCGAGGAGTACACAAATAAGAATCAATCTCCATCGATGGCCGATTTGATGTGTCATCCTCCTCATCATCATCATTATCAACATACTAGAAAAGTTCAAACAAAATGCTTTTATTAAATAATAAAATCAAAACATAAAATTATTAATTTTGTAAACCACAATAATCAGAAATTGATTACCTTGAACATATCATCATCCAAGTGACTATTTGAATTTTCGATAACAGCTGGGATGGAGGGTGGAGCATTTGTACTTGATGTAAAACCGGAAGACAAAGAAGAATAAAAGTTATACAACTCCAAAAGAGCATCTTTAATCACCTTCGCCTTTTCAACACATGCCTCATCAACATAAAGCACTTTTAACATCTTCATCACTCGAACAAGCTTATAACGAGGATCAAGAACAATAGCAATTGATAGGATCAAACTATATTCATCCCAATAGCCCTCAAACTTTTCAAGCATAACTTTTGCCATGGGTGCAAGTTTAGGATCTATATGGGCTTTACTTATTGTGTGCTCAATTTTTAAAACACTAGCAAAATACAAATTTGCAGTAGGATATTCTGAACCAGAAAATAACACAGTGATTTCATGAAATGGCTTTAGGAAATTACATATTTTAGTAAGGGTATCCCATTCATCATTCGAAAGTTTGAATTCATAACCTATAAACCTATCAATAACCAATTTCAAGGCTTCCTTTGCTTCCAAAGCTTTTCGAATCATCGTATATGTGGCATTCAACCGAGTCACAACATCAAGACGTAACTTTCCATTAA